ACCTGGGAGTGCTGGTGGACAAGTTAAACATGAGGCAGCAGTGTGCCCTTGTGACCAAGAAGGCCAATGGTCTCCTGGGGTGCATTAGGCAGAGTGTTGCCAGCAGGTCGAGGGAGGTGATCCTGCCCCTCTCCTCAGCCCTGGGGAGGCCTCACCTGGAGTCCTGTGTCCAATTCTGGGCTCCCCAGGACAAGACGGACATGGCACTACTGCAGAGCGTCCAGCGGAGGGCTACAAAGAGGATGAGGGGACTGGAGCACCTCTAATATGAAGGAAGACTGCAAGAGCTGGGCCTGTTCAGCCTGGAGAAGAGAAGATTGAGAGGGGATCTCATCAACGTGTATAAGTATCTGAAGGGGGAGTGTCAAGAGGATGAGGCCAAGGTCCCTTCTAACCTCAACCATTCTGTAATGGTGTGTTCTAGAGATATACCGATTGCATTTAATCCAAACTGGGCCGGCTACTAATTGTCTCCTTAGAAATGGAGGGATGGAAGAGGGGATAGATGAACACAAGCTCAAATGCTTAATGAAGTCTAATTATTAACCAGAATTGCAAAGCCAACATTAGTACAGAAAAAATTGAGTGAAAAAGACTCCTTAAAACTACACATGGAAAACAAAAATCACTTGTTATGTCACTCCATACATTTGTGGATGTAAGTAGAGCAGCACTGTGCTTGTGAGAAAGAATACAAAGTAAAAAACACAATACAGACATGAAAGAATTCTTTAAGTTAAGAACCATTTTAAAAGCTTTACAGATCATTGAATGTTTATATTTAAAAACTAGAATTCTACTTGATTATGCAAACTATTTTTATAAAGATTTGTCTATAACACACCATGGTAAGAAAGAAATGACACGTTAGGTAACTGTCCTTTTTTTTTTTTGAACTTCTTCGGCTAATTTTCAATCACAGCAGTTTAGAAACTTCACTTAACTAAACCAAAAGGATTTTAAGGGAAGATTAGTTACCTTGTTGGCACATACATAAAAATATTTATACATAGCATTTGTTAAAAATTATACATGAAACCATATACTAAGTGTGCTTTGTTTTATTTGTAGATAGATTTACCCCAACCATCAAGGCTTTCTCTAATTATATTCCAGAGGACTTAGTGTGCTCTCTTGTTTGTAGGTGATGCTATACCACTATGCATTAAGTCAGTCGAGGACACATGCAATAAAGTTATCTGTTTAAAATTAAATGACAAGTGCTTCTTCCCAATGGCTATAAAATGCAAATAAACAATCAAATTAAAATACTTTTCTTACAACCTCAGACTCAGACCAAAGCAATTGACAAGAGGTGATAAAGACTATCAATGTTAACAAAATGTATTTTCCAGAAAAAAGGAAGCAAATTATTAATAGAGTTGGAAATAGTTGTGCTTTTATTTACATATGTCCTATTTTCTGTACATGTTTTGTTAACAAGAAATTTATTAGAAATATGATACATCTTTGGAAAACATACAGCATTTGCAATACAGGAAATCAGTATGAGGCTGCACGCAATTTAGAACTATTTAATAGAAATGTTTTAAGGCATAAATATGATTAAGAGCCAGAAAACTGAGCTAAATGTTTAATTTGGGCCTAGAGTCATTTTACTTCAGAATTTATCTTGACATAAGATGAGCAGATGCGTTGACTGTTAATTTTATGAAATTAAAATACAGGGTGGCATTCCACACAAGAAGGATATCCACTTCTCCTTAGGCCTGTGCCTTGCTCATCTAATATTGCATCTGAACCATTTTGGGAAAATGTCTCAATTTTATCCAAGAAGAAAGGTCAGAAGAGCAGCAGACACTTTTTTCTTAATACTAAAAAACTATTTAAGAGATCAACGCAGTTAATAATTATATACCCAACTTCTGTAGCAACGAACCACAAGATGACACAGGAAACAAAATACAAGCAAATCAAAAATCAAACCAAGTGAAAAAAAAGGTAAAGTAAAAACTGATAAAGAAGAAAGTAAACATGTTTCAGCAAAAGAGCGGGGTAGGAATTATTGCAGCACGGAGCATCAAAGCTAAAAAGAATAATTTATTTATTCTTTAGAAAAATCATTGTCCTTATCAGCTAAGTGAATATGTCAAAGATATATGTTGCTCTGCCTTTATTCAAGTGCTAGTCATTTATAGCTTTGCTTTGAATCAGTACTGCTGTTTCAACAATAACACAACAAATGCGCTGATGTTATGTTTGAAGTGTAGCGTCTACATACACTGTCCCTCATTGGTCCAACATGGCAAAATCAGCCAGGTGAGATAGAAAGCAAGTACATAGGTGCTCACAGAAAACAAAAGATGCAATGGCAAGTACAAAAGACAGGTGAGAATTAAGTAGAAAAAAATATATTAGTCATAGAACAAACAAATATGCTAATACATACTATGTTCTCTTCTTTATTTAAACTGTGACATCTTTTATAGATGTATACAACAATCAGGGGGAGGGGCGGGGTGGTGAGTGTTAAACAGAATAGGCAGTAAGTAGTGATTTAATTCATTATTTGATTACAATAGAGACCAAACGCAAGTTCTCTCTCTTCTGCAATTAAGTCTTCCCAAACATTCACATAAATCACAATAAAAATTATTCCAAAGTGTTTTCAACTGCAAGTCCTAAAATTTAGCTTATCAAAATTCTAAGAAAATTCACTAGCAGCTGCAATGCTAAGCATATTTGCAAGTCAAGCCTAGGTATACAAAGACAGATTTCTTCCCTACTTTCTTCTGATTAATTGAATGCAGATTCTGATGAAATACAGAAATAATTCCCAAATAAGGTGTTTGATCATGGAACTCACTCAGGCTAACATTTGTTGTTCAACATTCTCCTCTGTCACTGGGAGGAGCAGAGATCTGAAAGACAGATTAAGAAACAGCATTTTTGTTTTGTTTAGACAAAAAGAACAGACTATGCTAACTACAAACAAATGGAAAGCCTTGTTGATATATTCACATACACTTTTCATATACTGATAATACATGCTGTATTGTTACTAATATGGTTTAAATAGCTCTAAAATGTTTTCCAGACAATCAGAAACCATTTATATGCATTCTGTTCCATGAGCATTGAAATATGCCTCAAAAAAAAAAAAGCTTTATTTTGTGGTCCAGTTATGTAATACCTTCTTATAACTGAACTGCTATTCATTCTGCATTTGAGTTTTTCTTTTATACTTCCTTAACGGGATTAGAGAATAAATTGCAGTCATGCTGCTCATACACCAGAAGAAAAGCCATCATCTCAATTGCTGAAGCAGTATCTTTGCTGTATGTTTCACAAGTCCTCTGTAGATATCTGAGCTTTGTTTGTACAGGAAATAGTACACCTTTCACTTCCACTTCCTCAGTATGCTGGCTTGAGTGAATATTCATAGATTTTGATAGGGTAAGCTTCTCACTAGTTTATGCACATATCAAGGTACTGTCATCTGTTACCATACAGCTCACACTGAAGCCACTATTTCTGTTTTTTTTTTTTTTTTTCTTTTTTTACTTCTTTTACACAGCACTGTCTTCTGCAATATTTTTCTCTATACTCTGTATGTACTAAGAATATCTGGTTTAGATATTTTTGTAAGTGTAATGCAATTCCCCTCTAGAAGTATAGGATTATTAGGTGGATCCTAAGCATCATGACAAATTAGGAACTTTAGTCCTAACCTGAGCTCTTGATGACTGTTTTATAAATATTCTATCATTTCATAGTTCTTGAACCTCACAAAGTAAGAAATTATTAATTTTGGAGTATTATGTATCCAAATTATTACAGAACATTTTCAAAATATACTCTACATTCAATGCACCTTCTTTTTCAAATGTATTTCATAACTCAAAAATACAATGCAAGCTAATTGCTAGGTTATACATTTTAATATTTTAGAAGATCGGTATTTGAAAAAGAATGAGAAACAATAATAGCAGATGGTGGCCCACATGAATTCTCAGTCTTGAACATCTGTGCATAATATAGTTGAACAAAAGGCATAAACAATAGTAAACAGAGGACAAGTGATCCTTCATGGAGTGATATTTATATAACATTGCTTTTCCACTTAATACAGGCAGCGTCAGACTGAATTAGAATCATATGCCTCTCAAAATATACTCAAGAGCTATACCCCCCCCAAAAAAAAATCATTGCAAAGCAGACAAGAGTGGAGAAGAAACTTCCTTAAAAAGTCTACAGCAAGAAAAGAAAGTTTCTGTGTGTCAGTAACGCGAAGTTTTGGTTGTTTTGCTGCAGTTACAGGAGAAGGGAAGAACTCAGAAACATAACCATATCCTACAGGAGAAAGTGGAGAGGGAAAAAAAAAAGATGCAAGTGAACTACCCTGGAAATATCTCCATTAGAAATAATAAATTAAGAAAGTCTGAATGACTACTGTACAAAATGGAGTAGTTAAATCTGTAAACAGCTTGTAAAAAAACCAGAATGATCAGTTATGATAATTTACATTGACAGTCAATTATTCCAGGAAGCTGATATTTTCAGTTGCTAACAGCTAGCACTCCCCATGTGTAATTCCACTTTAGCACTAATAATCCACATGAGGAAAACAGATTATCACCTGAACTTGTTGGAAGATCTAGCACAGGTACTACCTACTGAAGCAAATGAAAGGCAAAAACAAATTTTTGATATTTATAACTGTTATCAACTACAAATGGCTGTGCAGAACACAGACCATTCCACCTGTTCTAACTGTCTGGTGTACCCTTAAACCTGGCATGGTCAATGAGGACAGCCAAGACTGCTGCAAATAATTCCAAATTTCAAGAGCACTGAAGGAATTCCCACTGTTTGATCCATTCCTTTTCCAGTCCCCGCACACAGTAGGCCCCAAAATAACTGAGGTCCTATTCCACTGATCTTAAAGATATTTGAAGGCAAAGGTAGAAAAATAAGAATTGAGGGGGTCCAAAAGGTATTTCACAAGTAAGTGCCCACTTGCAGAACTCAAACTTCCAGAGAGAATGACACTTACCTCGACAGAGGTTAAAACAATAGGCATTTGTATGCTTTGTGCCCTTTAGGTTTGCATGACAAAACTGTATGTCTGTGTCTGAACCCAGTATTATATTTATTTTATAATACCAAGAAGTTTTTCTAGGAATATTAAATAAAATTATCCTTCCGGCTATTAAATTAACAATCTGTTTAAGACACCTTCCCAGACAGTAAGCATGATTAAACTACCTATGCATGGAAATAAATTAAATGCCTAATGTAGCCAATGAAACAATACTAGATACCGCTCTTGGCACATTTCACAAAAGTTGTTAAATATTTCACTAAGAAAGCTGCAAACTGTATGACATAACGCACTATAAGAGTAAGGGATGTCAATTTAATTGCATTAACAAAATGTAGATACTACTTTAATGGAAAATCTTTACGGAGAAGATAGGTGGTCATTAGAGATGACTCCAGAATATAGTGACACAAACTAGAAATATGCTATACAGAACACACTATAATCTCATTCTTTTCCAAGGACATGCTTCATTTGATTGTACTCCTATCACGTTAGTGGGTGAGGGACCAACTCACATTGCTAGTACACTACAGTAAAAGATAGGTACAAAATGTAGTTGCTTAAGATAAGTCTTCATGGCAACCTGTAAGACTATGCCAAATAAATATGCTCTTTCTTCTGTGAATGAATACGAGATACCTCTTATTTCAGAGTACGTAACTTTAACTATTTTCTTTCACACATTTCCAGAATCTCAGAGAACAGAAATTAATAAATGAAAGGGCAGTATTAGAGGAAAAGATCAAGAGAACTGATCTGCAACCAAATCAGGCAGTTACAACTTTGTATTTTGTATTTACCAAGCACTGGAGTATTCCCAACTAAAAGCTGTTGCAGAAAAACTAATATTTTAACTGGCTGATACATGAATATTCTCACAATTACAAACAACAGGTCTAATGCTTTGAAAAATTCACCAAGATACTTTTTGCGCAAAAAGTGAGTTGCACAAAGTTATTCACATACAAATGCTGATACAAGTAACAGGCATTAACACCCAAGCTGGAAGCCAGTCCTGTCTTAGGTTTTCTGTTTTTCAGAGAGCACACAAACTCACTCCGCGAAACAACAGCCAATTAAAGCAATTAAATAGAAATTTACACTAACTGAGTTGCCTAGAAAACTAAGGACTGTCAGACAAACCCTACCAATTTATGTTTGGTTTGTTTGAAGATATTTTTCCCAAATGTCTATTCTGCCAGAATCCTCCTCTTTGAACAACAGTCAGAGATGAGTTTCTCCATGCCCAGTTGCTCCACAGCCTGGCACATGCAATCTTACTGGTAATTTAAGCTAATATTCTGGGCTGTAAACAAGACCTCTGAAGCACACGCACCAACTCGCTTGTATTACGTATTCATTATATTCTTTAAAAGGTGTAAAAGTATTTCAGGATCACAGGTTTCCCCGCATACCACTGGCCAGTATTCAGATGCTACACATAGAAGTAAATAAACTTTTATCCATGTTTAAAAGACAGTGCAAACTAAAATCATGTTTGGGGTTCTGTTCACTTTCAATTAAGCCTGATTTGCTTTGTCCCTACACAAAAATTAACTTCTAGTGCTTTCCACATAACCGTTAAGGAAATTAAAAAAAATGAAAAACCCCAATCTTTTGGATAAACACTCTCTTTAATAACTGTTAGAAGTTTATAATTAATCCTCTTTTAAACAGCTTTCAAAGAGGCCTCTTCCAAACCCAGTTTTATAAGTTTTTCACAAAATGTAACAGACTAAGATCTTATCCAGAAGTCAGTGTTGAATACCAGTGTGAACAGCAGTTTTAGTCTTTAAATATTAAGCAATGTGTATGCATAATTTTCAGTGGTTTCAACCTTATTTTTGTTCCACACACTTAATACAACTAACTAGGCTGTTTTAAGCAAAAGACAGGTATGGACTCTTCTATGGTGAAAGCAAGGCAGAATCTAAGAGAGCACTTGCTACTGTTTAACTACTGCTAACCAATCTGTTTGGAACAGCTTGCAACTGCACTGCAAGTCACAAGAAAACCAACACATAACACAATGAGGCTTTTGATGTGACAACTTAAATTAATAATATTCTTTGTCAAAGGGAATGGTGGCTTTTCAGAAGCCTCTTTTCCAGTTTGTGACCTACAAAAATAACACAGATAATGGAAGTCCTTCTTCACCAACCACAAGTTAGTAGCAGTGGAAGCATATTCCTCTCTCTGAAATTACAAGCTACTCCTTCTGTCAGCTCAAGTAGGAGCAGACACCCAGACATCAAACAGTCCCCTTCCCCTCGAAAAATACCCACTTCCAGAAGAAAACATATAGTACTCAAAGACTGAGTCAGAAACATATTAATTGAGCTAAGAAAAGCATTATGAACTCACCCCTGAGTTCATCCCTGTGAACTCCCTGATCCTGGCTCCATTTGCAGTTCTTTGTAGTAAAGTCCAAATATCTAAGCCATTAGCTAGAGCTTAAACATTGAGAATTTAACATTTTGCAAATCCCTGCCCCCTAATCTGCAGTTATGACGGCTTTATAAACCAACACGTGTGAGGCTGAAACTTTTAACTTTGTATTTTACAACATCATTTCAAGAGGTTGAATAACATCAAAAGGACGTAAAATTACCTTGGATTTTATTTCTACTCAATTTACACACGGAAGCAGATCTGATTTT